TATATTGAATGTGTACAATATAATTATTATTTAATTTTCCCAAGCTCAGTTTTTACAAGATGTTTTTGTTTTAGAAACCTGTAATCATGCAGCAACTGTGCGAATCCAAGATGCATTTGTTACTGTCATGGAGTGGTTGCAAAAACGAAGCACCATATATCCTTCTTATAAACGTAAGTGCCTGCATTTAAGTGGCTGTATATGGGCCTTGGAATTGCTGTTTCTATATTGTTATAGACAAGCTCCTATATATAATTACATCAAATTTGACCAATAATTGTGCTGAATTTGTCACATTCACCATTGTGCAAGTATATTAAAAACCTTCCTTTACGAAAATTTCATGCACATAATTATATTTTACATAGGATAATAATTTCACACGTGAAATTTATTTTCGTACATTAATTTTACATGTGAAAAATTTTGTGAAACTCAAATTTCTTATCTGAAAATTTTCGCATGTGAAATGTTTCACTTCTATTATACCTATTAACAAATTTCCATGTGAAATTGCATATGTCAATTTTCCGTGCGTTTTCTGTTGCAGTTTGGAGGCATTCCTGCCTAGCCTCACAAAGAAACACACGATTAAACACGAGACTGCCGGTGCTATTACCCTATCCACATTCTGCTCCACATTCTGCTCCACATTCATTCGTTGCAGGCTGTACTCCGACACAACAAACTGGAATATGTTAACCGTAATGCTGTAACCAACAAAACATCAGGATCCATTTGAAAGATGGATCCATCTCGTATCAACGTAGTATATTCGACACAAAGGTATACATCGCAAATTGCACTGTATTTTTTCACCAATAAATGACTGAACTTATAAATTTAATTGGATTTGTTAGCGTGATTCTCCATTTTTTGCCGATTTCTTGACAAATGGAAAAAGTCGTTCAAACTGGACGAACACTTATTATAAGAGGTCAGCATTTACCTTTTTGGCATTTGAGAAATACTAGAAATCAACTTTGCTCAAATTTTTGAACCGCTCTTAAACAATAAAAAGCGGTTAAAATGGCGAAAAAGTAAAGCCTAACCCCTTAATATCTTTTTAGGAAAAAACCCTTTTCTGTTTCACCATTATATAATAGTTTTGTTTGTGGAAACACCACGTAAATTTACTACTGTAAGGCTATAGCCTTAACTTTTCGTCCATTTTTAGCGACTTTTTCCATTTTTCATCAATGGGAAAAAAGAACAAAAATGTAAGGCTATATATAGCCTTAACTTTTCGTCCATTTTTACCGACTTTTTGCATTTCTCATAAATGGGAAAAAAACACCAAAAAAGTAAAGCTATAGCCTTAAATTTTCGTCCATTTTTAGCAACTTTTCCCATTTTTCATAAATCGGAAAAAACAGCAAAAAAGTGGCTATAGCCTTAACTTTTCGTCCATTTTTAGCGACTTTTCCCATTTTTCATAAATGGGAAAAAACAGCAAAAAAGTAAGGCTATTTCGTCCATTTTTAGCGACTTTTTCCATTTCTCATAAGTGGCCGAAAAACAGCAAAAAGGTAAGGCTATATATCCTTAACATTTCGTCCATTTTTAGCGACTTTTTCCATTTTTCATAAATAGGAAAAAAAAACTAGCAAAAAAGTAAGGCTATCTATAGCCTTAACTTTTCGTCCATTTTTAGCAACTTTTACCATTTTTCATAAATAGGCACAAAACAGCAAAAAGTAAGGCTATAGCGTCAACGTTTCGTCCATTTTTAGCGACATTTTCCATTTTTCATCATTAGGAAAAAAAACAGCAAAAAAGTAAGGCTATCTATAGCCTTAACATTTCGTCCATTTTTAGCGACTTTTTCCATTTTTCATAAATGGGAAAAAAAACAGCAAAAAAGTAAGGCTATTGCCTTAACTTTTCGTCCATTTTTAGCCACTTATGTCATTTTTCATAAGTGGGCCAAAAACAGCAAAAAAGTAAGGCTATAGCCTTAACTTTTCGTCCATTTTCAGCAACTTATGTCATCTTTCATAATTGGGCAAAAAACAGCAAAAAAGTAAGGCTATAGCCTTAACTTTTCGTCCATTTTCAGCCACTTATGTCATTTTTCATAAGTGGGAAAAAAACAGCAAAAAAGTAAGGCTATAGCCTTAACTTTTCGTCCATTTTCAGCCACTTATGTCATTTTTCATAAGTGGGCCAAAAACAGCAAAAACGTAAGGCTATAGCCTTAACTTTTCGTCCATTTTTAGCCACTTATGTCATTTTTCATAAGTCGGGCAAAAACAGCAAAAAAGTAAGGCTATAGCCTTAACTTTTCGTCCATTTTTAGCCACTTATGTCATTTTTCATAACTGGGCCAAAAACAGCAAAAAAGAAAGGCTATAGCCTTAACTTTTCGTCCGTTTTCAGCCACTTATGTCATTTTTCATAAGTGGGCAAAAAACAGCAAAAAAGTAAGGCTATAATAGCCTTAACTTTTCGTCCATTTTCAGCCACTTATGTCATTTTTCATAAGTGGGCAAAAAACAGCAAAAAAGTAAGGCTATTATACCCTTAACTTTCCGTCCATTTTCAGCCACTTATGTCATTTTTCATAAGTGGGCAAAAAACAGCAAAAAAGTAAGGCTATATACTTAACTTTTCGTCCATTTTTTGCCACTTATTTCATTTTTGAAAAAGTCGCAAAAAAAGATCAAAAAGTAAGGCTATAGCCTTAACATTTCGTCCATTTTTAGCCACTTACGTCATTTTTCATAAGTGGGCCAACAACAGCAAAAAAGTAAGGCTATTATAGCCTTAACTTTCCGTCCATTTTTAGGCACTTATGTCATTTTTCATAAGTGGGCCAAAAACAGCAAAAAAGTAAGGCTATAGCCTTAACTTTTCGTCCATTTTTAGGCACTTATGTCATTTTTCATAAGTGGGCCAAAAACAGCAAAAAAGTAAGGCTATAGCCTTAACTTTTCGTCCATTTTTAGCCACTTATATCATTTTTCATAACTGGGCCAAAAACAGCAAAAAAGTAAGGCTATAGCCTTAACTTTTCGTCCATTTTTAGCCACTTATGTCATTTTTCATAAGTGGGCCAAAAACAGCAAAAAAGTAAGGCTATAGCCTTAACTTTTCGTCCATTTTTAGCCACTTATGTCATTTTTCATAACTGGGCCAAAAACAGCAAAAAAGTAAGGCTATAGCCTTAACTTTTCGTCCATTTTTAGCCACTTATGTCATTTTTCATAAGTGGGCCAAAAACAGCAAAAAAGTAAGGCTATAGCCTTAACTTTTCGTCCATTTTTAGCCACTTATGTCATTTTTCATAAGTGGGCCAAAAACAGCAAAAAAGTAAGGCTATAGCCTTAACTTTTCGTCCATTTTTTGCCACTTATTTCATTTTTGAAAAAGTCGCAAAAAAAGACCAAAAAGTAAGGCTATAGCCTTAACATTTCGTCCATTTTTAGCCACTTATGTCATTTTTCATAAGTGGGCCAAAAACAGCAAAAAAGTAAGGCTATAGCCTTAACTTTTCGTCCATTTTTAGCTACTTATGTCATTTTTCATAAGTGGGCCAAAAACAGCAAAAAAGTAAGGCTATAGCCTTAACTTTTCGTCCATTTTCAGCCACTTATGTCATTTTTCATAAGTGGGCAAAAAACAGCAAAAAAGTAAGGCTATATACTTAACTTTTCGTCCATTTTTTGCCACTTATTTCATTTTTGAAAAAGTCGCAAAAAAAGACCAAAAAGTAAGGCTATAGCCTTAACATTTCGTCCATTTTTAGCCACTTATGTCATTTTTCATAAGTGGGCCAAAAACAGCAAAAAAGTAGGGCTATTATAGCCTTAACTTTTCGTCCATTTTTAGCCACTTATGTCATTTTTCATAACTGGGCCAAAAACAGCAAAAAAGTAAGGCTATTATACCCTTAACTTTCCGTCCATTTTCAGCCACTTATGTCATTTTTCATAAGTGGGCAAAAAACAGCAAAAAAGTAAGGCTATATACTTAACTTTTCGTCCATTTTTTGCCACTTATTTCATTTT